ATATATACTAAAAATCAGTGCATATTAAATAATCAAAATATATCTGGTGGTACACAATAAATAAATTGAATCAAAATTTTAATAATATTGATCAACACAGATAATGAGAAAAATAAAACCACAGGATATTATTTCAAATATTAATGAAACAAAACTAAGTAACTCCTGAAATGCAATTAGTAGCTTATTAGCTCATCAGAATGTAACAACATAGCATGCAGATTTGACACGTGACCTCTCCCAGCCAACACATATTCACCAGCTCAACTTTGTACTGCACAAGAACTAACTTGTTATACCATGCACAGAACTGGCTATTTGCCAAGATTTTATTTAAGGCAAAGACAAATTTCCACTAAATTCTTTTTTTTTAAGTATACATCACAACTACACCATTGACTAGAAACTGAAATCGGCTCCAACTAGATTATACATGTATGTATATTTCTCCCAAGATTGGAAAAGAGACCGTTCCTACTAGGGCTGCAACAACTAATCGACATAATCGATTATAATTGATTATTGAAAAAGTTGTCAACTTTTTCAATAATCGATTAATCACAGCTAGAATGATCGAAATTTGAATCTCGATGCTACAAGGACCTAATGGTCTAGTCGGATGACTATGGCTAGTCAATTGCCTGAAGATAAATACAAATGCATACTTTACCAAAAGTGTAAACTTTTGTTTGAGAGATGTCGGCTTTGTCAAATTCCCCTGGTCAGCCAGTCAATCAGCTTCAGATCTCTCCCTCCCATGTGTCTCTCCCGTATACTCTTCCCCTAACTTTTTATCACCCAAAATGCAGGCATGGTTTGCTTATCTTTACCTTTAATTATAATGCTAGAGGGGTGTTACTTTTCTAAACACGATCCCTGTAACTACCGGAAGGGGGCAATATTGGAATATAAATAATCTTGGACTTTTCTTTAAAATTCCAATATTATTCCTTAAGATTGAAGCAATTTGCTGACACACTGGTTAACTTAAAATCCTTCATTGGTAACGACATTATACCCACATAGCCTAATTATTTGTACATAAAGCATAAACACATCAAACTGATAATATTCTGCAAATATATTTCAATAAGTATAAACACACAATATATAATGAATATAAA